CAAGTTTCAACCTCTCAAGGTATCCCACAATGGTAGTATCTAATTTTTTTTTTGTCTTGGCATATACCAGAGTCATCCAAAAAGGCTCAGCAATTTTCTTGAAACTTATTTTATGTGATGTCACTGGATCCTTCACTTCTTGCTCATTACATGAGGTTTGCGGTGCAAAGGTATTCATAGGCTCCTCGTCATCAGTGGAATTGCACTCTTCATTATCCTCTTCCTTCTCCGTATCATAAACGTGAATCTCCTCGGTTGTCTTCTAAGTCATATTCACTAGAATCCTTCTATTTGTTTGGGTTCTTTAGGGATGTTCTGTGTTGTGCCTCCTTCAGTAGGCATGGTTATGGTGTGCTTGTTCTTCCTTCCATATTTCTTATGGCTAGATTCAGCCTTTCCTCCCTTTTGCATAACAATTTGATGGCTATATATCTCATTGGGATTCTTATAAACAACCACCTACTCCATTATCTATGTTGGGGCTCCAGAGAAGGACCCTGATGTCAATTTGGTGGACTTCTTTGCTCATGCTATTTTTAGTGTTGTTGCTAGGTGGATCTGTTTTCTCATTGCTTGGTGTTTTTTCCTTCTTGGTAATCTGGCGTTCCCTTAGCTGAGGTGTCATCTCTGTCGGATTCATCAATTTGGCTTAACTGTTAGAAGAAGTTTTTAAAAGGAACTAGAGGTCCAATTACCACAGGTGTAGAAGATTGCACTTGCCCAACATGATTTTCCTGGTGAGAGTGTAGCCCTTGTTGAGATGTGACCACCATCACAAAGTTGTTCTTCAGAATCTTTTGAATCTCCTCATTGACCTTAGCCTATTATTGCTAATATATCTTATTAGAGTTAGGCCTGACGCCCATTTCATCTTCTTTCTTTCCATGTTAGCTGTCAGCTCCTTTTGAATTTTGTAATAGCAAGAGTATTCTGTTGTACAAGATAAGTAATCGTGTGGTGCATTTTATCACGTGCAAGCAAGTATGTCAGCTTCCTATTGAAGTCTTGCATAGTGGGCAGGTTAAGGTAGTCGTTTTTCCATGACATGCCTTTCTTGAGGTGTTCAACAAGACTAAGAGCACCTACTATTTTTGTGTAGTTGGCGCTCCCTTGGTTGCTTGTACAGCCAACACCTTTAGTTGGTTGGAGTAGAGTGCTTTACCACTGGAGCAACCTCAGTGTCTCACTTGTTTTCTTCCCTTTTCACATTTAATTGGACAACTCCTTGGTCTAATATTTGTGATCCTTTGACTTTCTGTTAATTTAGTTTTCTTCAATAAGAACATATCTACATATCTGTTATGTTCACAGAAATTGTGTTTATTATTTCATTAATTTCTTTGCCATCGTGTCATATTCGTCTTCTGAAGTGTAGAACTATATTTGTATCCTTTTTTTGGGCATCTTAATGCTCTGATAATTTGAGATATGTAGTCTTTCAGATTCAGGAAGGAACTCTGGGAAGCAAACCTGCTGCAGAATTACTGGGAAAGTTGAGGCCTCCTTACTGGTTTTCTGCACATTTGCACTACAAATTTGCTTCTTTAATTCAGCATGAGAGGGATAGTCATTCCACTAAGTTTCTTGCTCTTGATAAGTGTCTCCCTGGTAGAAACTTTTTGCAGGTCTTTTTATGCACCTTGTAGTTTACTAAGTCAAGATCTTTTTATAGTTCGCATATAAAGTTAAGGCTGAATACATACACAAACACTTAAACTTGTCGGAATTTTTCATTTAGACACCTAAGCTAAGCATATAACCTATTGAACACTACATCTAATCTCAAAATGTGCCTATCAGACACTCTTGGTGACATGGCAAGTTGCATATTCTTCACCTGAACTTGAGCACATGATTGCCGGAAAAACAGAGTTCTGCTGGAAAATTGGGTTTTGGCCTTTTTTCCAACTTTTCTTCGTGTACGTTTCATGAGAAAAAGAAATACACCAGCAAATGATTTTTGTGAATTCTTCTTTCTTTTCTTACTGCTAATAAGTAGAGTTCAGCTCTAGAACAATAATACATGTTTTTAATATTCTTCTTTAGATTCAAGTGGAATTGCATCTTCCATAGTGCTGGCCATCAGACTCCTTCCTCTTATACTATTCTTCTCATCATTTTACCCCAAAATCCTTCCCTCAAAGTCTTTGAAAACTGATTTGTATAATCCTACAAATTTGGAATCTATTTTTTTGAGAATTGGTAACATTGCATTCTTCGGCATTAAGGATATGTTGGAGACCATTAGAAAATCAGAAAAGAACAAAAAGGTTAATACTTACAAGTGTAGACACGTAATTTTTGACCAAACATAAGGTTTTACACTATTTTTATTCCTTAAGTATTCCTTCTAGGTCTACATTAAATATTTTATTTTTCATCGTATTTTAGTAAATTTATTTTAAAAGCTTTGAAAACTACAAAAAATATACATTATCTTTTAATTTTAAATTTTAATAAACAAGCTAGTATTTCTTAATTATATTTTTAGACTAGCTATATCACTTTTCTTAGTTCAAAATAATTAGTTAATATTTTTATTTTTATTATTATTATTGTTATTATAATTTATGTATATTAAATTTATTTAAAAAATTTAATACTACCCATTACCCTTGCCCCCACTACCCCTCTACTACCCCACTCCCCTCACATTTCACTCCATTCCCTCCACTCCCACGACAAACCATTAGCAACACTCCACTCACAACATATACTACACCACTACTCACCCTTATTAACATATTACATATACACAACACACACAAAAAAAAGGGGAGAGAACCAAAAACATTTTTTCTTCCAAATACAAAAAACCCACACACAGACGTACAGAAAAAAGAAGAAGAAAAAAAAATCAGCAAAGAAAAAAAGACTACAACACAACAGATACACGGAGAAAACAAAAAAAATCGTCCAGAAAGACACGCCAAAAAAAGGAAGAAAAACAACATCCAAATAATTTAATTTCCTTGCAATTACTACAACACACAGAAGCAAAATACAACACACACCCACACCAAAAATAACAAAGTTTCGTGAGTGTTCTAATCAAAATTCATTCAAAATTTTGCGGCATTCTACTTACCTTATCTCTTTAATTTATTTATGGAGTTTGATGTAATTTTATGCTAAGTTTTCCTATATTTTTATTTTATTCATAATTGATTGAAATGAACAATTTGTCGGTTGTTATATCTCTGTTTAATGAATGAAGGTAGTTTCAATCAGTGATTCTTTTTATTTATTTATTCTGTATTCGCTAGTTGTAACCTCTTAAAATGAATGGGTCATGGCGTTGTTCTTGTCTTGATTTAGATGTCAATAATAATAAAATAGGGATTGTTAGGCTAAAAAAATATATTGTTATTTTATTTTATCAAAAATAGAAATGCGATTTTTTTTTTTAATTCGATATTGTTTTGTTGGATTAAGAAGTGTACGCTTAAATTTGACATCAACTTTAAGAGTAAATAAATAATTAAAAAAATACCAAATAATCTAAAATTTTATATTGTATCCTAGGCATGTATAAAGGAAAAATATTTGATTTTTTAATGACTAGATAACTTTTAGGAATATTAAAAAAAATATTTGTTTCAATCAAGAATGTGGTTACACATATTTTTTGAGTTATTAAAAAATAAACTCATTCACATCATACCTTCACATATAGCTTCACATAAAACTTTACATATAGCTTCATATAGGACTTTACATATAGCCTCATTCATATATAATAATATA